ATTTATTTATTTATTTATTTATTTATATTAGGGTGATAGTGATGATCATTTTTATTTGTGCTTATATAGAAGTTTATTTTAGCGTCCGCCTCCGCCGCCGCCATCATTACCGCCTATTCAACCGCCACCGCCTAATCGTTTACCACCTCCACCTCCGTCACCATCCTCATGACAGGCATAATCACCGATTCGAGTGCTTTCGTTGTGATTATCGATCGATCGATCTATCGATATTGAGCTTATCGGATGTTATTATTAGTATTATTGGGCGCAGCTCGGCTTGGCGGGGGCACAAAATGGTACTCAGTGAAGCTTGTACAGGTCTTCTTGTGAAGACCGGCGAACTCTTGCAAAGAGGGTTATTTGTACCATTCCGCTGGTTCACAAGGGTTTACAAGTCTTGCCAAAAGATGCCTGTTAGTTAACATGAACTAGCAAAAGGAACCAAAGGAAGTGCAAAATGCCCCTCCAAAGCCGAATAGCGCCATATTATTGTTATTATCGATGTTCCTTCATCAATTACGTGCTATATATGGAATTGATTTCCCTTATCATCAGATGCATATCGTATCGTTGATTTGATTGAATTTGGTCCGAAGTGAACTTGACGTCATCATCATCTCATTGGCAAGTGTCTACGTGTGTGTGTGGTCCGTGTTTGTGGAAATGTTGTTGTTTGGTGTTTATTTTGGCACCCCCTCCTCCTGCCTAAAATATATCCGAAAAATTCACTGAGACGCCGAGATTCGCTTAAGGACAATGTCGTGGTAGATTCGGCACTTTCTATTCGGCTGCCTTTGTTCGTTGTCGAGATCGTTCGATCATTCGTTCGTTCGTTCGTCAACATCCCTGTTCTCTATCTAATCATCATGTTTTCATCCGTTCATTTCTTGTCGCTTTATCATTCAGGGCTCCTTTGGCCGCTTTTACATTTTGGACCGCAGGTATCGATTTTACACGCGGGCCGTAGCAAGTGATTTTAGTGCACGCGCATAAACTCGATACAGTGTAGCCGCGTAAAATCGATATTTGCACGATCTAAAATTGATACCTATCTTAAAGTGGCGCATTTCTAGTGTAGTCTGAAATGTGAAAGTGGTCCGACACGTAGTAGATCGTTGTTTATTGTGAGGTTTTTGAGAAGGCAATAATGTTATATATTGATTACTTCATGCCATGTAGAAGTTCTACTTATCACTGATAGATCAGACAAGCTGATTGTGTCTAGTCAGTGAAATTTATCCAATCAGTGACCGATGTGAAAACATTTGATGGCGGCGCGGCTGTGTACGCGACGAGTTTGCCTCCCCCTGTTCTGCTGATCGATCTACCGATCGATTGTTGTTACTGTACATTGTGATCGCCTTTCAATTTGTGCGCTTTCGGCTATTTTTTACGACGATTTTCTCCATTCGATTAAGAT